GCTCCCCCTGAAGGGAGGTTACGATACCCACAGCAGATGCTGATTAGCCCCCGCAAGAGGCTCCTGCGTGAAGCCAGCTCCCGTCTGCTCCTGCCACTCGCTATGTGGCCGGGTATTTGGCATCGGAACAGCAGCCTGGGTGGGGCTTGGTAACTATGTGCAGCACCTGGGAGCATCACTGGAGACACTCCACTGCCTGGAGGCACCACGCAGGAAATGGACCACGCCCGCCCCCGGGGCAAACCCAACCAAGGAGATTGCCTGGGGCATAAATCAGGCTGAGGGGAACGCAGTGCACGTGGTAGCCGGGGTCATCCCTGACTTCATCAGACCTGCCGCAGGGAGGAGCTTGGCCAGGGAGCGCGGTGGTGGCTCTTTAGAGAACCCCCCCCCGGCATGGCGCTGAGTGACCTTCACCCCGGGGCTCAGGGGCTCACACAGGAGAAATAATGGATCTTAGCAGCCCCCGGGAGAAGCCTGACTCCAGAGATTTACAAGCCCCTGAGTATCTGTCCCCTTCCTGTCCATCCCTCGCTGCTCGGGAAGAGGAAGTCTCTGCAGCTGCTGGGGCAGGATGCAGCGCACAGGAGGGAAAGAACATCCCTTTTAGCCTGGAATTTCTCTTCCCACCGGATCTCACGCACTCTAGAGCGGGGCCAAGCCCCAGTCTGAGCTCCCCACAGTCCCCGGGGGGTTGAGGTTGGGGCCTCACGTGCACCGTTTCCTTCTCAAGAGGTGGGGCTCCTTGGCAGTGATGATTTGGGTCCCTGCTGATAGTTTATGATGCCCCAGGGCCTTGGTGCCTCTGAGGCTTTCAGCCCCCGCCATGGCTAGCATTTCAGCTCCCCTGCTCCAGTCACTGTCCCAGGGCCAGCTCTGGTTCCTGCCTAGCCCTACAACTGCATTGCATGCCCCATGTTTGCACCCAGCTGATCCTCCATCTATGCCAGGCCTTCTGCTCTGGCCCGGGAGCGCGTCAGGCACAGGGGACCCCACGAGGAGCTGCCAGGAGCTCAGGCACGTAGCGGAAAGAGCTGTCTTCGCCGTGACAGGAGCTCCTGCAGTGGAGGAGAGCCTTGGAGAACATCCCTTCGAAGACGGCACTAGCAGAACCACCGAGATCTCCCTGTTGGGTTATTAAAATTCTGAGGCCCAACAGCGCAGGGAGGTGAACGAAACCCTTCCCAGCGCCAAGAGAGAGACGGGGGGTGTGTGACAGAGAGACAGACGGACGGCGTGTATGAGAGAGACAGACAGACAGCAACAGTGCACAGAGACAATGTGTGCACGGCGCTGGGCAGTGGGCAAGCGGGTGGGCGCTGGGAACGCGTGTTTCCCCTTGGGGTGTGAGCAGAGCCCAGCAGCCCCAGAGCCCCGTCCGCTCTGCCAGAGCACAACTCCAGGCACTTATCCCTCCCCGGAGGGGCAGGAACTCAGCGAGAGCCGTCGCTGGTGGAGTTTCCGACACAGGAAAAAAACAAAGGACTAGCACGGAGCGGAAAGAGCTGCGTTCGCCGTGACAGGAGCAGAGCAGGGACGGGACATGGAGTACGAGGCCAAGAAGGGGAAGAAGGTATGTACAGGCCGAGCTGGCATTGCTTACGGCACGGCTTTGCGGGGTGCAGGTGCATGTGTGTGTGTGACGGTCCCAAGGGTGTCACTGCACGGGGCACTGAGTACTGCATGGGTGTGAGACAAAGGCCCACGGGCTCCCCTCCCTTAGGCAGCACGGAGGTGGAGCAGGTGAGTGGAATTCATGGGGAGCAGGCCCTACAGGGGAGAATGGCAGCCCATGATTCCTCCCCCAGCCCCCCAAACCGGGGCTGAAAAGAGGGATGTGGCCTAGCAGAAAGGGGCGGAGTCACCAAACAGTCTGCGCCCCTCCCAGAACAGCGTAAATTGCATTGAACCCTTAGGCTGTTCTACATGCCAGGTGACCCCTTGGGTAGCATAGCCCCAGAGCCAGCCGTGCTGCTGCCGATGAGGTACGGGGAGCCCCAGAGCCAGCCGTGCTGCTGCCGATGAGGTACGGGGAGCCCCAGAGCCAGCCGTGCTGACGCCAATGGGGTACGGGGAGCCCCAGAGCCAGCCATGCTGCTGCCGATGGGGTACGGGGAGCCCCAGAGCCAGCCGTGCTGACGCCAATGGGGTACGGGGAGCCCCAGAGCCAGCCATGCTGCTGCCGATGGGGTACGGGGAGCCCCAGAGCCAGACGTGCT